GCATCCGGCTAGCTCAAAGGCTGCAAAATATATCAAGAGATCATACGAAGAAAATTCGCTTCACCTCGACCGATAGCAAGTATTCAGTTTGCAAATATACCGAGACAAGAGAACGAAAGCCCTGCAGCACCACAGAAAACTGAAGGAAGCCCGAAAATGACATATGTCCAAGCGACCAGAAGTAGTATGGAAACACCAAAGAACTCAGCAAACACCCCACAAGAACTCATATTTATTAAACTAAAACAAGAGTCCTGCACACGGTTCGAAACGATCTTGTCCAAACAAGCTGAACAAATGAGCACGCGCATGAGTCTCCTCACACCGAACCAAACGAACTGGTAAAATAATTCACGCATAAAATATAGCAGCGTGGAGTGCAAACGGGGTGACCCAACGCGTAAGAGAAGTCGAAGTATTTTTGAACACGCAGAAAATATGACACCCTTTTTGGTGCCCACAATCCATGTTTCGGAACAAAACTATATATATTAATTCCCACGTATACCAAATACGCTACCAACCATCCGGATGGGAGAATCCATGCAGTTTTAGCCATAATGATTAGAAAAGACATAAATCATCACAAACTCGCCGAATATGAAACGGACCACATTCAGGCAACGAATATAAGCATCGAAGACTGGGATGAAAATTTGACAAACTCAGTCATCTACTGCCCATCACGCCGTGTAATTAAAAGAACGATACAATGAATTAATGAACTCAGTATGACACAGATTTTTGCTTGGAGGTATTTTTTTCTTTATTGCTAGTGGGGTGAGACTAAGTCCCTTGTACTGCGGCCACTTCTGGCCTATTGTACCAGCCCAAGATTATAGGTGAGGGTGATTGTGGAGCAGTTGGTGGAATGAAGATTGGCAGGGGAAACCGAAGTACTTGGAGAAAACCTGCCACTTTGTCCACCACAAATCTCACTTGACCAGACCTGGGATCGAACCCGGGCCGCCGCGGTGGGAAGCCAGCGACTAACCGCTTGAGCTATGGCTCGGCCTTGGTTGGAGGTAACTTCAGCGTGAAACACCAATACTTGGGTTCCCGTTTAATCTGTCCTAAAGGTCGCGAATTGTATCAAACCATACAAGAAAAGCAACTAGAAATACTATCCACTCACGGGTGAACCAACTTATTGGCCAACATATATCAACAAAACTCCAGATATACCTCACGTCTTTATCTTTAAAGAGCTCTCGCATAACTCCTTAGACTTAATACCCAACGAATCACACACCAATAATCGCCACACTCAGTACACACATTATAACTCACCAAAAACCACCAAAACTGCACAACAACAAAACAAACTGGGAAGCATTCAGAAATCAAATCGAAGAAAACTAACGACTAAACACCCAGCTCAAAACAACGGAAGAAATCGAATTACTCCTATACAAAGGAGTACTTAAATCCATCTGGACTTATGGCATTCAGGTATGGGGTCAGCCTCAAATTTCAACATTGAAATCCTCCAGCGCTTCCAACCCAAGGCTCTTGATCTATTCTGAATGCACCTCGGTATATAAACAGCCACAGGATCCACGAAGACCTACAAATGAACACAGTGCTCGGCCAAATAAAAAAGTGAAGTGCCAAACACTTAAGCAAATTAGGAAACCATACTAATTCACTATCAGTGAACCTATTAGACAATAGTGAAACTACACACAGATTGAAAAGATACTCCGTCTTAACTCTACCAGACATATCTGAGTAAAACCACAAATGCAAGCATGACAGTAAAAATAAGTAAACACTATACGAGTATATGAATTACGCCATTGGGCATAACTCATTCACGAGCCTATCTTACTGCACACATACGTTTATTGCAGACACTACAAATTATATATAATAAATTGGATAATAATTCATACAATTTATGTAACATCATAGGGAAATTCTGCATTTATGTATCACAGATATTCAGACACCTCCAACATTCGCTGCACATTTGGAACTGGATTGCGAAATGAGTTACAAGGACCATGCTATGTACATCAGACTGCCGCTTTCATTATATCATAAAATGAAAATTTCTTCTAATACTCCTTGCATTAAAAAGTAAAGCTATCCCTGTAACAGGCTCTGAAGGCCCATAGGGTTGTGAAACATCGAGGTTCCTACATATTCTAGACAATCGGCTCACAGATGGCGGTGAGGTTGTCAGCCTTACGCGCCGGCCCCCCTTTACCCAGGAAGATTCCTGATACTCATTTCTGTTAGAGGCTGAGTCGACCCCAGCACCATAGTGCGGCTGGAAGGATTAGGTAAATTAAAAAATCCTCTCATCGGGACTCAATCTCGCGACCTTCCGGCTTGTAGCATAGTGCCTCAACCAGCTACGCTACCACGTGCCCCCACTCATTACTACGTCATTCCTGTTAATACTAAATTATATATAAACATGTACTGATAATAACAAGTTTAATGCTCGTTAACATTCTTAAACGCATGTTTTTAAAATGCTAAAACATACTTATTTTATTTTCATGTAATCGGTAATTTCATTGGCGTAAAGAACATATGGCCGGTCACCGTAGCCGAGCGGTCTAAGGCATGCACTGTCTTCGCTCGCTCGGAAGCCGGGATTATGGGTTCGAATCCCACTCAGGGCATGGATGTTTGTGTGCTTTTTTCTGTGTTTGTGTACAAGTAGAGGCCTTGCGACGAGCTGATCACCCGCCCAAGGAGTCCTACCGTATGTCTAAGATCTAGTAAAACCGAAGTGAAACGGAGAGTTTCATGGAGGTAGGCCCAGGCCGAAATGAGGGCTGTAGCGCCAATGAAAAATAATAATAATAATAAAAAAAGAGTATATGACACTCCTAAGGATAGCTTAATGAAGCCGAAATATGTCGGGTGGTAAATGAAACTAATATTGTGACTACATCAACAGTCAGATTTGTTGTGTTAGAGCTGTACGCCAAATCTATCATAAAGTCATTATACATTCTGCCCTAGCAGACCAAGAGAAGATGTTATTTCCACTGTTTTACCCTTTAATTAGTTTCTAGTATATACAAAATATTTTACTCGCCGCTCTATTTTAATTTGGTCAAGACGCCGTATTTCACAACAAGTCAACTTGAGTGACGGTTGTGTTAGAACACTACGAGTACACGAGGACTCGGCATGTAAACATAAGCGGTCTGACGGAACTTACGTCCGCCACACTTCCTGTTTATTTTAACAGCTTCCTCTTACCCTGTCTAGTTACACGACAGGCGATGAGTGAGACAAGCTCTTTCGTAAATAAAAATAGTTGAAAATGTCCTGAGATATCATTTAAAATGGCGCTTAAGGCATCACAGAAGAAGTTGGGGGGGAAATAAAAATGCCTTGAAGTCCGTAGTTTCAAAGGCAATCGGCAGAAAACTGTAGTCATGAAAACAAGATATAAGTTTGAGGTTTCACGGCGCTGATTTTTCAATTTGTGGTCTACTGGATTGTGACACCGTGTAGTCTTGTAGGCTCATAAGGCGTTTCAGGACAACATGCTGCTTCAATCATCAGGGTCTGTGATGAGAACATGTTATTTTATTGTTCAAATTTGATCCGTTCAAAAGCTAATATGTTTTTCCTGCCCCCCCCCCCACGGAAGTTTTTTTGTAACAGTTGCTGTTCTGACATCTGGAGATCCACCCTCATCCAGTAGCGATACTCCGTCTCCCTTTTGTTCTGCACAACATCTTGAAATGCGTTTCCAACCACGCAGTGGGGCGTAGTCAAACAACTGAATACAATGAATCGGGATTCAGGACACCTAACTCGATCCTCCAGCTCAGTCGGTACTGCAGATACAAGACGCCAAATGGGAGTTATAGTAAATTAATTTAGGTATGGCAATCAGATCTCTGCTGTTAAAAAATAAATGCATATGCCGTAAATGGTGGACATGTTTAAATTTTAACAATGTTGTATTCGAATCGCGTCACCTACAGACATAAAAACGCGACATGCCATGGTGTGTTTTAAGACTGCTGCACTGAGTTTACACGACAAATTCGGAAGGCATAGTTGTTCCATACTTCACACTTATTTCAAACTTTTTTAATGTATTATTCATGATCATTTATATTGCCTTTTAAGCACAGACTTAATTTTTCTCAGCAAGGCTACCGAAAACATCGTTTTCCCTTAACCACTCTGGTGACTTTGCCTTCCGTGATCTCTCAGGACAAACTGACAGTGTTCCAACAGTTTCCGGTACTACTTCTGTGTGATGACAACACGATATGCAGCGCAAGTTTTATGCGAAATTTCCTACATCTACAGCAGTCTACATATACAAATGTGTTGTTGCTATAATACCAATGACACATTTCTATGTCGTAGGTTAGAACAGATGTAGAAACCGTAATTTAAAAGTTGCCCTAGACATCGTATTTTCAACTACCTTCTCACAGAAGTCGTACTGTGCTCCTTCGTAAATTTAGTAATTCTGAAGTTTATTCCAGTTCCATAGCCACTTGACCAATAGACAAACTTCTGTTGGTATTTTGGGACGTTTTGTATTCCCTATATTGTTATGCCTGGGTTTCCACAGGATCTATTTTAGAACCATTGCTCTTTAATGTATTTGTTAACAAGACAGACCTAACTGATTTTATCAGAATTCCAATTACCTCTTGTTTTCTGACTGCTTGAAGATCTATTGTAGTGCCTATTAATCATGCTGAGGGCTACAAATATTAACAGTCGAATACTGATTTGGAGCAAATTTGGTGTTTTGAAACTGGAATCAAGTTTGTTTTACTAGTATTATTATTATGCCTCAAAAGCAATGCCTTATTTAAATATTTGTTTTCGTTGTCATTGTTGTTTTCTGTTGTGTCACGAACGTGCAAGAAGTCTTTTTTTTTTTTTCATCATCCATTGTTAACATCAACTTAATTGAGGCATTCACCACGGTACGTCGCTAGCTCTCAGACATCACTTAACCTGCACGAGAGTGCGCTCTTCGATTCTGCGGAGTTACAGTAAGTTGCGTTTGGAATTCTTGTAGAAGGCGAAGTTTATGCTGTATATTTTAATTTTTATTCGTGAAAAGTTTAAACTCAAAGTGCTGAAATTTATATCCAGATAAGAGAATAGTTTATCGTCTAAGTGAATAACGTACATATACAGCCCTCTGAGCAAAATGTTTTCAGATTTAGAGTCGCAGATGTGCTAAAGGCTCAACTTTGTTGGGGTACGATCAACCATTTTTTTGATGTAGCAAAGCTTTACTTCCGTAGCGTAGGTTGAAAATAGTTAAAAATTTCATACCTTTAATTGATTTCTTAGCAATAGCAGCATAGGTGGAGGCGACGTAGGATATTTATGTGCCCACTCTTCTTCATATTTTATAAAATAGGTTAATTGGTTTTCAGTAGGCCTCATTTTAATGGCAGTTCTTCGAAGTATGACAGTCAGTTGAAGGAGCAAAAATTAATTATGATTCATACTCGTATTGTTTTCAGATTGTGCTAAAAATCAGGATATAAAATCGTCGGGACCATGGTTTCAACTCGTCAGTCCAGCAGTGTTGGGGGTGGTGGGGAGAATACAGGGACTGTTTCTGAAGCAGGGCCCTCAAAATCTTTACGTCACAGTAATGCTCAGCCCGCACCCTTGTCAGAAGCGAATGGGTCAACACACAGTGCAGAAGCTCCACCTACACAAAGCATAAATTTGATGGATTTACCACCAGAAATTTTGCTGAAGATACTTGGATATCTGCCATACAAAACTGTTGCTCATTTACGTCTGGTGAGATTTTTATTTTTAATAAATTTATTTACCTTTCATTCTTTTCTTTTGTATGCTGTTCAGTTGCCTGGTAGTGTAATTTTATTTGTGTGTTTTGTACTTGAGTAAGTATATGTTAACTTGTTAGAAATCAGTTAAGATTTTGAGTATCCCATGTGGAGGCGGGGTCAAATGTCTCCACAATAGCCCTGCTAGCCATAGGAGGCAATAAAACGGGAACCTAGTGCCTGGTGGTATAACTGGGCCCTCCTGTTCCTGGGGTGTATAAATACAGGGACCTGGCCTCAATCACTGACCCAACAGAATAGGTGTTTTTCCCTCACCTGAGGACAGAAACAGATCCAGTTTCTGAAATGTCGTGTTTTTCTTAGTTATCTTAAAAAAAACCAGGACAATGGATAAAGTCCGAAAACCCAATATCTCTGTGAGTCTGTTTCATGTTTAAAGAGAATTGATGCACATAGCGGCTTGCTGTGTGTTCTGGTTGCACTCATACCTTTCAGCCCTAGTTCATGTTATATTTGTGAAGGCTGAAGAATGGGGAGAGGTGAAAATAGCAGTCACACTTTTGGTTTTTCCAGGTTGCTTCCTCCTCTTGCTGTACTACTGCCATCCTTGGCACGCTAACTGTACACACTTCAACTGCACTCTTATGAATGCCTGTGTTATTATTTTAACAAACAGAACTGAATATTTCTGATTCAGAATAACGTAATCTGCAGTGCAGAAATGACCAATTATTTTAAAGTGTGATAAATTGTGCTGAAGGTTTTGCAAAGACAAAGGATGTGGTAAAGACCAACTCAGCTGTCTACAGTCTGTCATATGTCTGGATATTATTTAATGAGATGAGTTACAGTAACTTAATCTATTTCAGTGCAAATTCAGAATAACAGCTGTTGTATCATGGTTTGTTGAAAATAAAATAGCCCACCAGTACCTAACCTGAATATGTACAGTATATTGTCATGTGATTGTGACTAAGCTACAGGCTCTGGTTGGTAATTGGATTTCATGGACCCTGATTTCTGTTATCTGGAAATGATTACAGAGTTTACAAGTATTCACTATCATTTTTTAGTCTGGTTCCTTGCGGGCTCTGTTGTCACATATTTCGCTAGACCTCAAGCTCAGATAACGGTACTGTTCTGCTACCGTACATGCTCTCTGTGTATCACTTTGTTGTGAACTGATGAGAAACCACTAACACAACAGCGTCTTGGCTATTATGGCTACGGGGGGTATCCTGCTTTTGTCATCTAGTAAATGAATGCTTCTATATTTCTGTGATTTCAAGATTCTGAAATGTATGGTCTTTAGCCTTAATGTCACAGTAGTGATTATAACCTAACCTGAAACATGGATTATGAATTGAGTGAAAATATCCATTGCATTTGTTGAAGATTCCTTGCTGTTAGCATTTCCCTGAGGAAATCCATTCGTAGCTGTTAGTTTTCAGATATCTTATTGGGTCAGTAAGCCTCACTGTTGCAGTATGTGATGTTAATAGTAATTTCCGTACTGGCTATAATATGACGGCTGCAATCAGAATGAAAGTCATCTTGTGTGTGGAGGTAGAATAGAATTTGCTGAGTGATGTGCTGGTCATATAAAAGTTGTAGATTTTGTTACTTAGAAATAACAGCTTGTGGACTGACATCATGTGTTGTGCCTGCTGTGATTTTTGTTTTATCAGAAAATGGTAAATTTCAAAGAGCAGCATGTCTTTTGGTCAAAACTTATACAGAAACCTATAGGATGTTGTAACTTTCTCCCAAAGAGGAAACAGCGAGCAGAATTCAAATATGTGATTGGTTTTCCAAGTTCAGAATTGAAGTAACATGAATTAATGATGCTGAGCTTTCACAATGTCTTTATCATCAGAACATGAAAATGTGATGTGAATCAAGGAAATTGTTTTTAAAAATATACATGTCATCTGTGATTTGGCTGATGGAGTGTTAATCTCGTTTGGGTCATGCCAGAGGATTCTGACACAGGTTCTGAACATGTGACAGATTTCCATAAAATTAACTATCGAGCACAACCAGAATCATATCAGGACCCTCAGGAAAATCTTCAGGGAGACTGACAGTTCCTTTCCAAGATCCAGGTGATAAAGCTCAGGTGGTACAGAAGGGTAGGAGATTTTATGATATTCTAATTCAGCAACAGTCATATGATGATGCCCTAGCCCAAAGCACGGGTCTTCTCCAAATACTTCCAACAATGGCACACTTGCTGGACTTGCAGCATCATGTAATAACTTTGAAGGGGGCAGCATGGAATAGAGGGTAAATGCAGTTATCACAGAGAAAAGAAGAATACAATCTGGAAACCATATGATCTCATCACATTCTTTGTGACTAGCACCATCAGACATATTTTAAATATGTCACAGTTTTTCACAGAACTGATGCATGCATAGTAGTTGAATGGTATGAAGGTGTGGGAGGGTGGAGATGTATGCAGTGATGTGCATACAGAGGCATTCCAGTTTTACAGGTTTTTCAAAGATGGAAACAGCAGTGTATTAGATGCTGTTTTTTAGAAGCAGGTTGAATCTTATGCACTTAACAGCGGTGGTGAGTAGAGTGAGGTTCGGTAGCTGGCAAGCAGCAATGTTGAGAGAGGGTTGAGTGTTCATTTAGTCAAGAATGTAACACCAAACTAATTTTACATTTCTGTACTAACAGCTTCTGGCCTAGGAAACCAAAATTAACGGCTGCGGGGATTCATTGTGCTGACCATGCGACACTCTCTATCCACTGAAGTTGGTACTAACTTCGCCAACAAGTGGCGGTAGCTCAGTTGGTGTAGTTCACTTGCAGACTAAAACCACAGTTTTTTTTGTTTGTACTAACAGTTGGTTAGTTTTTTTTTTGGGGGGGGTTATATATATATTATTTTTATTACTGTAAATTAGTATTATACTGTAAATGGGGATGATCTGAACAGTATAAGACGTGAAACCAGCAGAACCTTTTGTCTTCTTAGCTGCTGTCTAAAAACATAACAATTAGAACATACAAAACTATAATTTTGCCTGTGGTTCTGTATGGGTGTGAAACTTGGTCTCTGACATTAAGGGAGGAACATAGACTGAGGGTGTTTGAGAATAGGGTGCTGAGGAGAATATTGGACCAAAAAGAGGTGAAGTGACTGGAGGCTGAAGAAAACTGCATAATGAGGAGCTTCATAACTTGTACTCTTCACCAAATGTAGTTAGAATAATCAAGTCAAGGAGGATGAGATTGGCAGGGAATGTAGCATGAGTGAGGGAGAAGAGGACTGCACAGAGGATATTGGTGGGAAAGCCAGAAGGAAAGAGACCATTAGGAAGACAAAGATGTAGGTGGGTGGACAATATTAAAATGAATCTTAGAGAGATAGAATGGGATGATATGGACTGGATCAATCTGGCGTAGGATAGGGACCAGTGGAGGGCTCTTATGAACATGGCAATGAACCTTTGGGTTCCATAAAATGCTGGGAAGTTTTTGAGTAGCTCCACAGTTGGTGGCTTCTCAAGTAGGGCTCAGCTCCATGATTTTAGTAAGTGTTACACTATCTGAAAGTATCTTTAGGAACTTACACTTTTTACCTAGTTCTTAGGATTGTTAGAATAGTTAAATTAAGGTGATTAATTGTGATGTGCTAGTCATATAACTTGCTGATCACAATGGCCATGCAGTCTAAGGCATGAACTGTCTTTGTTCACTAGAACACTGGGATCATGGGTTGAAATCCTACTGAAGGCATGAATGTCTGTATGTATTTATTCTGTTTGTGTAGGTAGTGGACTTGTGATGGGCTGATTCCCTGTCCAAGGAGTCCTACCTACTGTCTTAGGATTAAGAAACTGAAGTGAAACAAAGCATTTCACAGATGTTGTATCACAGATGCTCCAAAGTTGGAGCAAAAGGAGAAAGAGAGAGAGCGAGTCATGTAACTTAGGTGGAGAAATAAGTAAATGAATAAAGAAAGTTGGTAATTAACTGTAATTGTAATACAGATGTCCAGTAAATCCAGTCATCACATCTAGAACCCACAACTATTCAACACGCCTTCCCCTTATACGTGATAATTTGGTGTCAGAAAGTGGTTACGACCATAAATTCATGACAGCGGGTGTCAGAATTTGTTGGACTTGATCACTTGGACAGAGTTGTGGGATATAAGATTGAATTGTATAGTTACAGCATCATACTACGGAAATCCTGAAAGCCGTGCAAAAGACAATGGCCAAGTTAGACACTAGGAACTCTAAGTTAGATGCCTGTCTAAGAAAGATGGAGGTCGCGGATTTGGAGGCAAATCCATAAGGAATGAAGTACATATCAGAGCATCAAGAAGTCCCTAAGGAACAAGTCACAATGAAACCTGTCGGAGGACTGAGGAAGCAGCATAAGGACCAGCATCTGGCCGCAGAGCGCCACCAGAAGCCCAAGGAACAGACCCAGGGAAATTGTGGATGCCAGAGGAAATCGGCTGCTGCCTGCAAGGTACGAGCCGCCATGCAAAAACAGCACAGAGCAAGGGACACAGGTTTCAAGGACAAGGTTGCACTGAGAACCTTGGAAGAATGGATGCTTGACAGGAGACAGTGGGTACAACAGGAATGTAACAAAGGAATAAGGAAATGAGACATAAAGGAACTATGACTGGGAAGCAAGTGGGAAATTAACAAATCTTCCAGAAAAAACCACTGGACTGGAGATCTCAAAATGAGTTGCCAGATCTACTCTTGGGTTGCGAAAGATTAAGGATTGAACATTGTGGAAAGGTCGACCCCACTGAAATGGAAAAAGAGGCCACACATGGAGTAAAAGCCAGAAATGTGGGAATGCTGGCAACTCTGGATATTCTTGGCCCCACCATTGCAGCGGGAAAGGACAGAAAAAGGTTTATGTCTGTACACCTGGACTCACTGGAACCTTCTTAGGGAACCGCTCGGGACTCATAGGCTTGAGGAGGAAACAGTGGTAGAGGTTGGAGAGTGATCTCCGCAGAAAAGACCGAGCCACAAGAAGACATCACGATCAGAAACTTCTGAAATGAAATGATAGTGATACACTGATAGGATATTTGGGATGAACAGCCTTAGGGAGGGAGCAATGTGATGAGTTTGTGCAAAAGATTAGCCTGTGGAGCCAGAGGAACACATTCCTAACACAGTCAATTATCGAACTTCATTTGCTTGGTATTGAACGTTTCAATAATTACATATTCGTGACAATGGATTTGTGATATCCTGTGGATACCATCTAGCCAGTATAAGGAGCCATGGAGGCTCCTCATTGAATCAGTCATGAAGCAAACATCCTTCAAGGCAGTTGAAGGTGTGAGCAGGAATTCTTCATTCATCATCACAGTGGAAGAGAAGACGCTTGTGGGCTAGCAAGGAATGGAGCAAGTCTTAGACACACCATGATTGTAAGCTGTCATAATTAACTATAATTGTAATAGAGATGTACAATAAATCCAATCATCAAATCTAGAAGCCACAGTTATTCGTCACGCCTATCCCTTATATGTCACAGTATGTTTTATTTGACTGAATGAATGTACATATAAGGGGTGGGCCTTCTCGGCCCTTGCACCATGACCTACAGTGATCTGTTGTGCTTCCCCTTTTGATTATCCCCTCAGCAATCCTGCGCTTTGAATGAAGCAGAGGATTTTGTATATGGGGGTGTCAAAATAGTCACTTGGTTCCATAAAGTATTGATCCAAGTGACATAATCTTAAATAAGCTAAGACCTCACATTAACACAGGATATGTGTGGCTGTTTCATTTTTTTGATGCCTCTCACAAGTGGGACTATTACTTAGCCCCAATTTCAAGAGGTGTCCTTTAAGATGACAGTGTCCTGTAAGTAGTCCCACCACCCATCGTAGCTGGTTCCTGTTTAACTTCAACAGTTTCTTCGCTCTTTTAGCAGAAGGTCCTCGTATGAGTCCCTTTGCTTGCCCAAGTCCAGTCAAGGATCCCCAGTATTTCTTACGATTCATATTTGTCCAGTCCCTGATTGCCTTTCTGGCAGGTCCCATAGAGATGCCACAAGCTGGGTCAGGTCCTGTGTTTGGTATGGAATCCAGATAATTTATGAAGGAAATGAACTGAAGACATCTGGAATACTGTTAGATCTTTGGTTCATATATGTGTGAGTGCTGCATTACATACAAGGCCTTTGTCAGTTATGCTGTATGCCATTGTGATGTCTCATCTGGCTAGTCAGATTTGCCCCCCCCCCCCAAGAATAAAAGAAGAACGAAAAGAAAAGAGACATTAGTTTGTCTGCAGATGTTATGAAGAATCCTGCAGTAACTAACAGAATTGCATTAATGTGAGTTAAGAATGATGTAGAAGTTAATATCCGAGCATTCAGCTGGATAGAATAAGGAAAGCGTTGGTCATTGTAAGGTAGGTGCAATTTTGATGTGTGACTTTCTTGGGCAGATATATTGTCACTGAACAGGTTAGCATAGCATTAACATGCGAGACTTGTATTTGGGAGATAATGTGGCCATAACCTTGATAGACTGCTGGTTATGGTTTTCTTCATTGTCTCCAGATGAATGATGGAGTTAGCACCTTGAATTAGTGATGGCCGGAATTCCACTCATGTCTGGACTACATGTGGCATTGTTAAAAATGAGAATAAACAAAAGTGTCCCATAGGATCTTACATAGACCACCAATTATAGTTTCTTCAAAACTTGCCCATTTTCCTGGTTAAGACTGTTGCTGACCCATAATTTTGTTTTCATTGTTGAAGTAATATGATTGCATTCTCTAGCAATATGGCAAAATAAATATGCTGGATTCTGTAAGCAGCATCTGTAATTTTGCCACAGGCATTTAAGCTTTATGTTGTTAGTAATACTGCCCTAGTCGATTTTTCTATGGCATTCTTTGATAGCATTGTCAAAATTGATTTGTTTTAATCAGCAATATGAATTTTTTTCACCTATTTGAACTGTTAATCCATCTAGGAGCAATAGTAACATATTATTTCTGGTGGTTTTATGAAGAATTAATAGAAACTGCTAGGAAGAATAAATTTATAGAGACTTAAGTTTTCATAAATTAAGTAATTATGCTTTTGACAGATGTATGACAGTTAATAAATCCAAAGTAAATTTGACATAGTTTAAATATTTGAGAAGAATAGTGAGAAATAAAAATTAATAAGAAATTAAGAATGGATCAAATTTGCAACTGTGCTTGTGACCGTTCATTTCAGAATATTTTGTCTTTCTTCTTAGAAATATAAAAAATAAAATATACGTAACTAATTTTGTATTTGGTTTCATATTAGAATGAAGTTTGGTCTCACATAGATTGAGAGTAGTCAAGGACTACTAACAGGAGGCTGGAGAAAACTGAGTAATGAGGAATTTTGTAATTTGTGCTTTTTACCAAATGATACGAAGGTGATCAGAGCAAGGAAGGTGAAGTGGAAGGGGCATGTAGCACTCATGAAAGTGGTGAAAATTGCATGCAGACATGTAGACAGAAAAACTGAAGGGAGATGCAACGGGAGAGATTAGGCACATATGGAGTGTGAAATTGTATCTTAAGAAATGAGCTCAGTCTGGGCTGGTTTCATCTGGTTTAGGATAAGGTTCAGTGGCAGGCTCTTGTGTGCATGGTAATGAACTTTAGTGTTCCATAAAAGATGTAGGGTTTCTTGGCTTGCTGGGTGGCTGTTCAGCTGGGCAAGAAATTCAGTTCACCTCAAGTAGGACTCTGCATCTTGAAGTTGGGTGGTAAATATAAATTTGCAGTCCTTCACCTCCAAATTATACCTTTCTATTCCAGATATTTCAGAGGGGTTTCAATGTGTGAACCATCTCTCTAAATGTGGTTGTAGATTATTACATTACATCTGACCATCCAGCTATCCAGTATTCATATTAACATTGAGAAGTAGGGGCAGGAGTGGCCTGTATGTTTGCAATAAGAATGTGAGGTTTCACTCTGTTTACAATAACTTTCCTTCCTCATATTATAGAAAGCATGCTGCTGCTGCTGCTTATGCAGATGAGATTTTAGGTATGAGATAAGTACCTCTGAGTCTGAAAATATGATTTCTGAAATACTATCTGTATATGAACTGTGTTTTTGCCTGAATAGTTCATTAGAGTTTCTTTGTTTCTGGTATTTATAAGTGTCTACAATCTACTGAAATGATATTTGTTTATTAACCTTACAGCTTTTATATTAACTACATTACTTAAGGCTAGAATGAAAACGTTTGTTAAAAGGGCTATAAATGAACACTTCATCCCCGCTTACCTGTTAGTGTTTCAGTTGCTTTCAGGCCACAGAATGTATTCTAAAGTTGCTCCTCATGGTACAGTGATGTGGATTTGTATCTCCACTGTTGACTTGTAACTCTCTCAGTGAGGTTATACTTAGACCTTATTTCTTCTGACACATTGGAGACCACAGCTTTTGGAAGGTGTTTCTGATGTAGGGTTCCCATAATGTTTTTTCAAAAAACTGGATATTTCCATTTTTCCTCTAAAAACCATGACATTTGGTAAAATAATGGGTCATGATGATAAGTTAATAAAAACAAAAAATCAATAATACATTATATGTTAAACATTGAGAAATTTAAACATACAAAAATTGGTTCAGAATTATGAATATATAAACACGGCACTTAAAAATAAAATTCATACAAAAATAAAATGGAAGTCTTACTCTGCGAAAGCCTTCTCAGATTCATCTGAATATCTATCAGATTCGTGAACCTGTTCCAGAAAGAAATTTTCTTTCAATATTTAGGAAAAGAACTCTGAACAGGAGAAATCTTTAAAGTGTGGTCTTCAGAATGGTTAAGGCTTTCACTGTTTGTTTTAAGTCTTTTTTTTTTTCATCGAACCATAATGCATTTAATATTGAGAAAACACACTCAGTCTGTCCATTAGATCCTGACAGTGCCAAACAGAAACTAGTTAGACATTTAAAGTTAACAACATTAATGTTCTCCTTTGTAAAATGAGCCAACATTTCACACCACTTTTCAGTAACATTTTGGCCATTTTTTCATTCTGCACTTTCAGTTTGCTTTCATAGCATTTTTGTACACATGAAACTCATCGAACAAGTCATCTTCATTCAGTGATAAATCAGGTACCACAGTCTTCATGAAAAAATGGTTAACTTGTACGCTCTTCCAAGACACCATTCCTGAATATATTCAGTGCAGGTATCATAGAAGTCTGCATAGTTATTAAACTTTTTAGTGGTTATATGTCTGTATTTGTGAAATCGTGTTTTGTGTATTAGCCACCAGGAGCATTAACATCATTATACAAAAGCCAGTTGCAGAGAATAGCATTTGTTTTGAGGTCACCATGATGAACCTATGGCATGTAATGTAGCAAGTCAGTTCATTGTTGTGATGTGTATCAGGTGTGCCGCAAAATGGATGGGATCTGCTGCACCATCCTGAACTCGACATTCCAGGGCCTTCAGGCCCAGATGCTGCAGCGGTTCCAGAGTATCAAAGCTAAGATGCCACGCCGTGAATCTGCCAGACGCAACCACCCGCTCGCCTGTGAGTCCGATATCATTGAGACGCTCCACATGCGACTCACACTGTTGCAGATGACATTTGGCAAACACATTGAACGCAAGCATTGTTGCTTCTTTGCAGGAGAGGTAAGTTTGGTTTATGCTACATGTAAAGTAACAAAGAGAGTGTGATAGCTTTGATGAAGTAAAACGTTATCACATTCTCAGTTTTTAAGTTTAGGGCTTCAGCTCTAACCTGACGTGGCTGGTTACAGATTAAGAAACTTAATTTTTAGAGTTACAGAGAGGAATATCTGTTGGACAGTCACACAGAAGAACAAAAGAAATATGAAAACATGTATGTAAGATTTATGAAAATAATAGTCTTCTAGGATGTGGCTCTGTGTGGTTTGGTAGGTAGGTAGGTACTACTGTTTCGGAGAGATCTGCCAGCTCCATCTTCAGGAGAAATGTTTGTCTTGTACCCTTAAAGTGGAGGCAGCAAGTTTCTCCAAAACCCTGGTACCTACAAGTATATACCAGAGTACATGGCATGACATACCAGAAGTGTGTAGTATTAATATTCTTTGCTTTGAGAACCTCAGATCTCAGAAAAGCTTGGACGTCAAACCACATTTTCAAAGTATCATTAGTGTCAAACCCAAACCAATTTGAAGTAATACAGTCATAGGGCAGTGAAGTATTGATTGTTTAGGGGACTGAAATGTGGTTCCCAAGGTGTATAACAAGTTGCATATTCATTCTTCAGCTGTAAAATTACAAGTTTATCAAAAGCAGGTTTTATACAAGAGTTCTGTTCTGTTGCTGGCATTATACGTCTCCCATTGATGGAGGTTCTTCTGTGTTAGCAGTTTATAGCCTTGCAGGTGAGATGTGCATAGGATTCTGTTCTTTCAAGACTGATTTAAGTATAGAGATTGTGTTTAATAACAAATTCTTATGTACAGTACTTCGTAATTTGTTTGAAAATAATATGATTTTACTGTGGCATATAAAATAACATTGATGGAAAAGTTGTATAATAGGCTTTGTTGTTGGACATGGTCTGAGAGATTTGTTGACATCAGAGCTTGTCTAGATTCCTACATAACTCATTGCATCAGTTGGCTATTGAATGTAGTCTATCAGAAATGCAGCCTATGTGGAAACACAATTTTTGCAGATAAAAAAATTAGTTATATGGTTCACAAACTCAAAACAGAATTCTTGTCATTTATATAGGAATAATCATAGTATACCAGGTCCTTGTAGAAGCAGAATATTGAGAATTTGTGGCTTTAGAGGTTTGTTTTGAAAGGTTCCTATACTGTTTCCTAAATATAAAACCCAGAGGAAGAAAATGTTTAGGAAGACATGAAGAAATTTTGTCTGTAATACTTTAAGAGGCATTGGTGAAGACAAATGAATAAACTGAGGAGAATAGGAAGCAGAGAAAAATGTAGAAATGAGAGACTTCTGAGAAATTCATGTGTGAAAGAACATGTTGCCATCTGAATATGATGGTTTCTTGTTCCTCACTTTTCATATTTTCACAAAGCACTGGCTGAATTTGCCTCTCGAAGTGGTATAGTCATGTAGATGACCATTTTATGTTGTAGATTCTGGATGAGGTGTATCGAATTCTTCATTATATCAAGGTGACACAGAAGTTGTCACGTCCTTACAAAGTGACTGATGAGCTGTTCGATCTGTCCACCATGGCCATGGAATACTTCAAGGAGCATATTGAGCCGATGTTGCCAGAGATTGCTTACTTTAGCACTGACTTCCTGGATTTTACTGGAACTTTTGCAAGTGAGTGTCCTTTGTATTGATGAAGACCCACTGTGAGGACTTTACTGCAGACAGAACTGCATTTCTTCCATTTCCTGTATCGAGCAGTTTGAAATCTTAGTCTTTCCCAGAACATCGAAACTAGTTACAGTGGATCCTCAGTATAAGGTTTCTTTTGGGACCAGTAGGTTCTAAGACTAAACTAAGGAAAAGATTAAATGGAGATTCTGTAATGTTGAGCTTATTGACATGAGATGATTGAAACTGAATTTTAAATGAGGGAAAACCATAAATTGGGGAGCATTAAGTGGGGGTTCTGCTGTATCTTAGTTGATGCAAGAAAATTGTGATGGAGGTGGGGAGTGAGTTGTTACATGTGATGTGCTGCAGGGGTGGTGGGGGGTGTTATGCAGTAGCATAGTTGGTTGAGGCACTATGCCACAAGCCGGAAGGTCGCAGGTTTGAATCCCAGTGAGATCATTGAATTTTTTTCAATTGACCTAATCCTTCCAGCCATACTATGACTCTAGTGTAGACTCAGCCTCTAACAGAAATGAGTACCAGGAGTAATCCTTAGGGGTAAACGGTGGCTGGTGCATAAGGCTGACAACCTTACCGCCATCTGTGTGCTGACTGTCTAGAAGATGTGGGAACCTCAACTTCTCACAGCCTTGTGGGCCTTCATGGCCTGTTACAGGGATAGTTTTCCCCTCTTTTATGTGCTGCTGTGACATTGACGTATGTTAGAGACTAGAAAAAAATCCAGGCTGTTAATTCAACTAGGATTTAGGTTGAACTGTGCCATAGTTCTTGAAATTCAGTTCTTTTGACACATGATGTCTGCTGTAAACATGCTTTATCTTTTACCAGATAGAGACAGGTGAATATGGTCCTGCATGGAAGGGTTACAGAAATGCAAGTAGTATGTGACCTGCCTCAGTGAAGGCCAGTTTTTACCTCTTCAACCTTTATCACAGATTCTTTTTGATATTTTATCTGTGCTTCCTGACACACAGATGAATGTTTCACACAAAATTTGTAGACATAAACGTAACAGTTTTGATTTATGACTTATCATAGAAATGAGACTGAAGTGTGCACCATGCTGTTCTTTTTATATTAAACAGTTATTAACATAAAAGTATCCAGACAGTGTGACAAATATCATACTTTTTAAAGTAGTTTTCTTCACATTGTTGCATAACATGGTTGCTGCCAATTAATGGTCACAAAATGAACAATAAAATAACAAATTAATTTTCCTTTATTAAAAAGAAGAGGTAAAAAGGTTTATGAAGTTTTCTGCCTGTAAAATCATGCCACTCCTGCCAGCCACTTGTTTCACATGTGTGTCACACAGACCCTGGTGGGAGTACTGGAGGTCATATGGGACAAGGGTGGTGCTGTACCAGCAGAGATTGTACACTTTGATGTGGAAGTAGGATGTTAACCGTCATTTAGGGATGGACTTTTTTGTATTTAAGGGTTCTCTTAATACAATGGAATTTGTTAATGATATGGTCGTACATATAATACCAGGTCTTTGGTGTGATAACCTTGTGAATGTGCATGCAGCAGTTGATAGTAGAAAATGAAGATATAATGAAGAGCTTTTCATGAGAAAGTACAGCAGTGGTGCATGACATGACCTTTTTCTCTCAAATATCACAGAGCAAACCTGCCATTTGTGTGTGGGCTGCACAGTGGGAAATTAGATTTCTCTTTGAATAATGCTTATGCTAAATTTACCCAGTTATTTTCAAGCAAAACATTCATAAGCGACATAAACACTTTGGTGTAAAGATTTACAAGTTGAGCAACAAAACTGGAAAACATTTGTGAATATGTATGTAGGAAAGAAGGGGCAGAAGGCATCTAACTGTATTGGATAGGTACATCATTTTATTCTAAAGGGTTCTGATGATGGTAGATAACACACAGAATTACTGGGTTTTTGGACTTTTTCCATCATCTGGAATTCTAGGCAATAGAGAAAGCGACATTTCGGAAACTGGATCTGTTTCCGTCTTCAGGTGAGAAAGGACAGTGATTGAGATTAGCTCTTTCTAAAGGGCCCATCTGAGTAGGTGTCTTCCTTTCTCACCTGAAGATGGAAACAGATCCAGTTTCCGAAACGTCATGTTCTCTTAATACCTAGAATTCCAGACAATGGAAAAATTCCAAAAACCCAGTAATTTTATACATTATTTTATTGTTCCGTGATAGAAATGTGAACTATCAATATGTCTTTCTGGCTGTGGTTCAGAATTGTTGGAAATTAGTCCTCAGTTTGCCCTACTCATAAGCCGGTCAAATGACGGGGTTTGAAGGCACATCAATAGATGTCCTGGTGCAGGATTGTCCTTACAGTGTCACATGTCACAGTGTTACATGTCACTTCAAAATGTGTGTGCTTCAGTTCTATAATCTGCCTCATTGTAGCCCTGTGTTTTCATATTTACCATACAAATGAAAATATCTGAATTAGGGTTCTGTTTACAATGTGTGAAAGGAAACATTCCCAGAAATTATAATACCATAGATTTACATGCACAGTACTTTGTTTTATTTCAGGAATCAGTAAACACTGTTGAGAACAATTTTTATAATTAGTATTAAAGTGACACTGTACAGTTCATCGATGTATTCTCTTTCAAACCTTTTTCGCTAGAATAGTTTAGCAGTTGTAGGTTTGAATGTATATATTTATTCAGTACTGATGCTCTTACCATTTAAAATCTGGCCAACATCCTCAGCATTTAAAATCTCATGTGCTGAATGATAAAGGTTAATGAATGAACAAAATGTGTTAATAGTAATGCCACATGGACCTCTGAGTTCATTTTAAATTTATGTTGCTTTTGTCAGTAACAGTGTTCATTCTGAATTGTAAAGGAATTGGTTACCATGGAACTGAGTATGTTTTCAGCATCATCTACTGCCAAAACTTATCTGTGCCTGGATTCTCCACCTCACTCCAGTGTTAGCAAGGGAGATGAGTCACTAAACCATGCTAATGGCATTGAGGAGCAAACACCCGAACCTCTGCCCCAGTCAAACATGGTATTGCGAAAACGCATTCGCAAAATCAAGCAAGGAATGAAAAGGTATGTCATTGTTTTAATTTCCTGATGTTCAACAGATTAATAGAGGTGCAAAGGACAAAGGAACATTATTATAGAAATATCTTCTTCTGTAAAACTCTGATTTACACAGATGCCCATATAAAACATAACAAGCATACACACTCACCTCTACAGACATACCGAACTCATTCACAACAGTCCAACACAGCACACCATACAATCCACAACCGGTCACTACACACACTATGTAAAGGTAAGGCAGCTTCATAATGAACTGTAATTAACAGCCCATTTATGAATAAACATTGATCTAATGTGACCTCATATCATATTTGCAGACCAAAGATATTTTCTGAATATCCAGAGGATTAATATGCAGAGACTCCACACATAGCTTTTATGACAAGTGTATATGTATATATAAAATAATTTTAAAATCTTTTAGAACATTCTTAACACATTAACAGTAGTACACTTTAAAACTGAAATGCTGAATAACTGTAATTGTACATGTTATAAATTAAATCTATGAGATAGAATTAGTGTACAGCCAACCTTTATGACTGCAAACACTTCCTCATGTGTTGATCTTCATCTGATGTTGGTTTCTAAAGAAATGAAACAAATAAAGTTTTCCAATAATTAAATTGAACTGATCGCAGTTGATGGTTGTGTTACTTGATATGTATATATGTTTCAGCGTGTAACAGCTATACTACAGTGAAGATGTCAGTAAAACAAAGATGAGGAATGACAAACTTTAAACATAACAGCATTTTGGTATATTTGAAGGTGATAAAAAATAACTCACGCTTCTTTGTTTTTATCAAGGCCACTGTTTCTGCTTACATGGCAATACATTGCATATTCCTGGTGAAATGTCAGTACAACAGACTTAATGAGGATTGACAAATTATAATCATTTTAATGACATTTTGGTTTGTTTGAAGGTAATGAAAAATTACAACTCGTGTCTCATTGTTTTTATAAAGACCATAATTTTTGGTCCCATGACAGTAATTGCATATTCCTGGTAATATTTAATAAGTGAAAAAACTGGGTCACATTGTAGCTTCTGCAAAAGCCAGTGACTTCCATAAAATCACTGAACTATGGCTGTTTATGGCAAGACTTGACTGTTGCACATCTTACCCTTAACAGCATGTGCCGGATGTCTCAGAAGGCCTGGTTCTCTGTATCTCATGCATACTACAAGCCTTCTCTGAAGTAGTTTGTTGCTGCATTTTTATGCTATTTCCATATTTCTTAATGCATGTGCCAATTGTACTGCANGCAAAAATGAACAGCACAGACTGAAATAAAATACCAAGTTTTCCATACCTGTATCAGTTATATTTCAGTTGTATTATTAGTATACTTTAAAAAAATGCTTTATTTAACAAGACATTTCACTTATAAAAAGTGCAAGTCTGTGATTCTAATCATAGACACTTTTCAGTCAAAAGTATTCAGTAATCTTGCAGTGAGCAGTTTGCTTTAACACTGGTTTTCCTGAACAGTCATGGATGGCATTATTACAATCAGGCATGCACCCTAGCACATCTGTTTAAATTAACAGATGACGATACAGAATGCAGATTATGTCTACTGCTTCATGAGATTTGCAGAATTTCCATTGTCTCTCATCACAAACGTCTTCTTCCTGGTCATTATGATTTGTTTCTTACTTTCCTGCTCCTGTTCTAAACCAGACCAGGTGATATTTTCCCCAGAAGTTTCCTGAGTGGTGTCAGTGTCAATATCAATAAAATCACCACTTGCACTAATAATATTGTTTTTGGTGTTGTTTTTATGTTGTCTGAAATGGTCTGCATGCAGCCACCCTCCCTATTTTAGAAGTAACCCATGCTGTACCATTGAAGTATATTCTGCTGAGCCTATCAGAGATTTTTTTCTGTTGCGTGGAACTCGTATACCATGAAATTCCCCTACGAGGTTGGGGTAAGCAGTGGATATGAACACTAAACTGAGGAAAACTGTAAAATGAGAACATTTAACATTAAGATTACTGGCTTGCATTTATTTAAATTGAATGTTAAATAAAGGAAAACCTTAAAGCAAGGAACATGAAATGGGGGTTGCACTGTGTATGTTAAGAGATGGTATAACCATTAAAATATTTGATTTTCAGTACTTTCTGCAAATTATCTTTGACAAAGCTATCTTGTTATGAAGTATCAGACAGTCATTGCATAGTCTGTACAACTGGCATTTTGGAATAAGTGATTTAAAGGAAGGGAGAGAGGGTCTTACGAATAAATGATAATTAGTGCTTTATGAATGAGATGAATATATTTGCCCAGATACAACAATCAGCTCACCCTGATGCGCCGTGACCTGCGGAACTGTAAGGGGAAGATTGCAGAGCAGCAGAAGCAGATCTTAGAGTATGCAAGTCGGCTTGACGAGACCGACAAGAAGAATGAGGAGACATCTCGCAAGTTCAGCACCCTGCTGCAGGTGGGTATACACAGCTGATTGGGGAAATGAATTAATGGTGTAGTCAATGGCATGCAAAGAATTGCACATTTTTCTGAACCCATTCATGGTATAGAGTTTTCCTTGAGCAACATACTCAGTTAATTCATAGGACTTTGGGCCCAAATTATGAATTTCAAATCACCTATTGTGGCATGTTTGTTGAAAGCCAAAATTGTGAAGCCAGCAGACAGCTCTTGCTAGGTAATGTCTCTGCAAACATGTCTGTTCCTAGGGAATAGCCCTGTAAATATCATGTGACAAATGGTTGCTGCAGCAACAGTGGCAATGCAACAAAAGAGGGATTGTGGGAAGAGGTGTTTTTATATGGTCCATGCCAGGGCTAAATAACAAGGCGAGGAGGAGGTTGCTGTGAGATAGCCACCATCTCCGAGGATATGAGTTCAGGAGAAGAGGAATGTCCTCTGTTGGGAGACGTTACCAAGCAGTACAGTGAAGACCATGACTGAGAACATTAGTCTGCGTATGTGAGTGACTTGCAAAGTGTAGTAACAAGTTGAAGAAGTGTGAAGTAAATCTGATTACCAATCTGTACCCCGTCTGTAGTTACTAAAATTGTGACAGTATTTTAAATTACCTGATTTTTCATTGTAAACTCACATGCAGGCTGCTTCAGTGACAATGGTGCAATATAAGCACCAATTTTTAAGTCACATGCATTAACAGAGTATTTTTTTTCATCAGAGACATTTAAAGGAACATAAATGAATCACATATTATAAATGAACAAAATTTTCACAATTCTAAACTTCTTTGTGCTAGGTCATTGTTGTATTGGAAAATATGAATTGATTGATCATTTTTTTGAAGAGTTCATCTGTGTTTTGGTGTGATTTGTTATGCATGTTGCTTTCAGGGTTCTGTCATGTAAGGTAAATAAAAAAGGTAAGTTCCTGTGCTAAATTGCTTAAGTGCCATGCCATGAACTTTGGCAGGAGATGTAGGTGAGTGGTCAGTTTCATATTCTGGCTGCTTTACCCTCGGGGAAAGGGCCCCTGGCACCCATTGGCATATTAGGCTGGGTGGTTCCCAGAGCCAGTCTGGTCACTGTGAAGAAGAGAGAAATATTTTGCCCCAGCAAGCCATCCAAGCTCATCACTATACCAAGTGATACAGTGTAGCCTCATACCTAAAATGTTGCTTCAAGGACTGACTTGTGAAGATGTGAATTGGATTTAACTGGTTATCATCATCATCATTATCATTATTATTGTTGTCCTTTAGCTCACACTGGATCACAGGGCAGTAGCAAAGTTTGTGTTGAGTGATCAAAACAGACGAACATTGCGTACGATTGTGACGAAAAATAAGAAGACTCCAGCTTCAGAAATGACTGCTGAACTGAATGTCACGCTCCTAAACCCTGTCAGCACCAAAACAGTACGAAGGGAACTCCACAAGCAGGGTATTTCTGGACGAACTGCAATTCCAAAGTCACTCATCAGTGATCAAAGTGCTACTAAGAGGACAGTGTGGTGCCGAAGTCATAAAACCTGGACTGTGGAGCAATGGAAGACGGTCATTTTGTCAGATGAGTCCACCTTCACATTGTTTCCGACTTCTGGCCAAGTTTACATCTGTAGAACGCCATCCCAAGCTTACGATCCAGATTGTTTGCTGCCAAGAGTGAAACATGGCAGGGGTTCAGTCATGGTATGGGCAGCCATATCGTGGTATTCTGTCAAGACCCATTATTACCCTGCAAAGTCATGTCACTGCCAGCAACTATGTGACCAATTAGGGCAACCAGATCCATCCCATGGTGCAAAAACTTTGTTCCCCAATGGTGATGTCATTTACCAAGACGACAATGCCCGTGTTCACACCGCTCACATAGTCCAGGACTAGTTTTCTGAGCACGAAGATGAAGTGTCGTGTCTTCCATGGTCCCCACAATGGCCTGCTATCACTATTATTGAGCCTTTGTGGTCTGTTTTGGAGAGCAATCTGCATGTGCGCTATCCACCTCCATCATCGTTAACAGAACTTGCCAATGTTTTGCAGCAAGAATGGTACAGTATTCCCTTGCAAATCATACAGGACCTCTATTTCTCCATTCCAAGGAGACTGCAAGCATTTCTGCAAGCCATAGGTTGTCCTACACCATATTAGTCATGGTAATGTGTTTTTTGTTGGGTGTTTCCATATTTTTGTCCATCCCCCTGTATTAACAGAGTTGAACTTCAGGGTTCAGATGCTGTAAACTTATTAGGCATATTTATACTATAAAAACCAGAGGGAGATTGTAAGTACTATTTAATTTGCTCTTCCCCAGGAACTGAACAAATGCAAAACAGAGCTGCAGTACTGGCGCTCGAAGTCACCTGCCATTCCACCATTGTGTATCTCTTGTGGGAAAGTAATGGCTCCAGTTGCTTCAGAAGACCTGTTGACCCTTGCTAACCAGGGTGTCATGCCAGAAGGATTAGGGCTCGAGTTTGCAGCAGAAGCAGATGAGTGTACTGATTCTGTGCCAATCGCAGGAACCAGTAACAGCGATATGGCTTGGGCCATTCAGCAACAGATCTGGGATTCGTCTGTTAAGAAGGAAGAAGAAGTCATTGCTCCAGCAGCAATGACATCAGTGAAGAAAGATGAGTGGCAACACCCTCCAGCAGTAGTGGTGGCCACTCAGGTACCTGCCAAGGCAAATGGAGTAGCTTCAAAGCGGAAAGCTGTTGATGAGATATTCTGTAGCTTTAAAGGGGCCATTTCTGCAGGTAGTAGCCCTTTGCAAGAGACCAAGAAGCCAAGACGAAGTCACAAAAGTCGTAGTAAGCGCTCCAAAATGTAAACATTTAGACTGTTTATAGAGGTAAAACATATATATTGATACCAAGAAAGAAGTGAATATATGGAGAAGTAAGGTTTATCGTTATTAAAATAATTATTATTAATAATTATTATTGTTTGCCTTTTTGTTTTTGGTATGTTACTTCTCACACATAAATTCCTTATGTAGCATGTTGCAGTACCTTATTATTGATTAACATTTGCTATATTAGAGAAGTGACTAATTAGGGAAATCCAGTTGGACATTAGAGATGGTTTTATGTGTACAGCGAAGAGGCAAGGCCTTGTATCTGTTTGTACTGCCACAATGTGGCGTGGACACTGCATTCTCCATGCCACCTAATTACTGCCAGTCCTCAGAGATCATGCAAAGCTTGAGCATTGGTCCGTGATTAATGTGTTAAGATATCAAATGGTTTTATTATAATTTCTGATAATTATTGTGAGACAAATAATGACTCCTAATGGAGAATATACTGCTGTGCACAAGTTTTACAAATTTCTGACTTGCTTGATATGTAGCACAGAAATTTCATGCAGTGATGTTTAATTTATAAATTGGTATTGACACATACACGAAGTTCACAACTCAATAGTTGTTACTAAGTAATAATAGAGAAAATTGTTTCATTTTACATAGTTTTTAATTTAATGGGGTTAGCATGCAGAGAAATTTTTATTAAATATGTGTAGTGGAAGGATTTCTCTATCAAATTCTGAAGCATGTTGTTTGGTAAATGGCATAGACATGTACCAGAGAGCTTTTGTTTCTCTCCTTTCGTAAGTAACTTAGACTTGAATTTCCATACATTGATGTCTGTAAATAATAAATATTATGCCTTACAAACATTTGTAGCATTTTATGTTGTCAGAAGTGGCTTAGAATTTGTTTCAGACACAGAGCAACTGGGCACTGGTTTGTACTAGGTAGACAGTTTGTTTTTGTTGTATCAGATTTAATTGTTTGTGGTTGAGAAAAATAGTGGATAGAAGCCCATGAGCATAAAGTACAAAATCTTGTTTGCTTTGAAACAAAACTTTATCCTGAATCATATTTATTTTCATACTGTTTAGTGCCAGAGTCTGAATGATTATAAGGTAACTTACAGAATTTTCTATAGGGGGATGCATTTATTTGTCATACAGCAATGAGCAGGCATGCATCAAACTAAACATACTATCTTGAGAAATATATCTTACTATGTTCATATCTTGAGAGGAAGAATGGACATAGTGTATTTAAAGGTGTTGTATCTGGGCAGATACACAGAATTATTATGAATTGCCACAAAAAGAAAGGCTTGATCTTGTGGCATTTCAGAAGAATGCAGTTCAAGCTTATTTTCAAGTTAACACAAATTATTATTATTGTCATTTGGACATGCTTCACCTGTGATAAAAACTCTTGTGACTAGACATCATGCTGAATTTGCCATTTAATTATTTTGTGTAAACTCAGGCATAAAAGTACAGTTTGCACACACACTTAAGTGAAGTCAAACCAGACCTATCCAATAATACTGCTCATCACACTCGTATGCTCGTGTATGTTGGTACTGCAGTCATTGTGCCACTATGTAATGCTGGTAAAACAGTGTGAGTTTGGCAATTCTAATGCATTTATTTACTCAGAATGTGGAGAAAAAATAAATGCCAGGATTGTAACTGCTAAGTCTCCTTTGTTTATTTAACAAGTGCCAAGCTGTTTTGTTGAAGTGTTGAAGATAGGAAGCAGAAATTGTTGAAAATGAAGTACTTTACATGATTCTGTCATCTGTTAGCATTAATTACATGGAACAGGAAACTTGATTTCACCATTACATTGTTTTTATCACTAGTAAAGAAAATGTTAAAACAGACATGACTGCCAATATGTGTCTCACCCTGAAAACAATATACATAGTTTGAAAACAGACTACATTAGTACAAATGATAAAACAATTCCATCCAGTGTGATTGTTGAAGCTTTTACTACTTCACTTTTTAGCACCCTAACATGTTTCGGTCCCTTCAGACCATCATCGGAGGGGGCATCAATACTTTTAGAAACTACTATTACATTGGGTGTTTTTTTTTTAAATACATAAATATACAATATTTGTAATATACACTTTATACACAATCCTAATTTCTTACAACTACAGCAACTGTCCTTGATGCATTTAAGTTTTTTTTTAACTTTTTGTTATTTAAGCTAAAATTCTTTAACTGAATTGGTTCATGTCCCTTGTCCTTTCGTTTTTCTTGACGGGTCCAAACTTGTGCCGCCTATCTTTCTTGGGAAGGTAGTTCTGCAAATATATTATGGGTATTGTATTATTTTAAAAATCCTATTTTACATATATGTATATGTAGTGAGGAGTTTGTTGTTTTTCATCCTACCTTGTTGTCGTCCTATGTTTCTTTGTAGCGTGCTGTGTTGTTTTTACTGTTCTAGTATGTACTGTGGCACGCAATTTATACTTCCTGAGTTTGTGACGTTAATGTGGGTGTGTTCTGATGTTGTATTATGAGGTCGAACATGTTACATTGGTTATTACTTTCCTTTGTGTGTTTTTGTTCTATTAATTTATTGAGCTTATTAAAATGATATACATGGAAATCTTCTTTTATATACATGATGCCTCCTTTTATGGCTTTCTCATTCATTTCCATGATTATTGTCATCGGTCCATACTGGTGTTCTTTATTTAGTATATGTTGGGTGAATGCTAATTAATCTTTATTTAGTCTTATGTTTCTTATGTGTTCTTTATACCTTGTTGTTAGATTTCTACCNGTAACATGTTCGACCTCATAATACAACATCAGAACACACCCACATTAACGTCACAAACTCAGGAAGTATAAATTGCGTGCCACAGTACATACTAGAACAGTAAAAACAACACAGCACGCTACAAAGAAACATAGGACGACAACAAGGTAGGATGAAAAACAACAAACTCCTCACTACATATACATATATGTAAAATAGGATTTTTAAAATAATACAATACCCATAATATATTTGCAGAACTACCTTCCCAAGAAAGATAGGCGGCACAAGTTTGGACCCGTCAAGAAAAACGAAAGGACAAGGGACACGAACCAATTTANTGAGGTCGAACATGTTACGTTGGTTATTACTTTCCTTTGTATGTTTTTGTTCTATTAATTTATTGAGCTTATTAAAATGATATATATGGAAATCTTCTTTTATATTCATGATGCCTCCTTTTATGGCTTTCTCAGTCATTTCCATGATTATTGTCAGCGGTCCATACTGGTGTTGTTTATTTAGTATATGTTGGGCAAATACAGATTCATCTTTATTTAGTCCTATGTTCCTTATGTGTTCTTTATACCTTGTTAGATTTCCACCAGTTCGGCCGATGTATACTTTTTGGCAGCTTTGGCATGCTAAAAATAAAGAGCTAAATACTCTTATTAATATAGCGCTAAATAATGGCTATAGAAAGGAAGACATCATAAAACTACATAACAAACTGGTAGAAGTCTAACAACAAGGTATAAAGAACACATAAGAAACATAAGACTAAATAAAGATGAATCAGTATTCACCCAACATATACTAAATAAACAACACCAGTATGGACCGCTGACAATAATCATGGAAATGACTGAGAAAGCCATAAAAGGAGGCATCATGAATATAAAAGAAGATTTCCATATATATCATTTTAATAAGCTCAATAAATTAATAGAACAAAAACATACAAAGGAAAGTAATAACCAACGTAACATGTTCGACCTCATAATACAACATCAGAACACACCCACATTAACGTCACAAACTCAGGAAGTATAAATTGCGTGCCACAGTACATACTAGAACAGTAAAAACAACACAGCACGCTACAAAGAAACATAGGACGACAACAAGGTAGGATGAAAAACAACAAACTCCTCACTACATATACATATATGTAAAATAGGATTTTTAAAATAATACAATACCCATAATATATTTGCAGAACTACCTTCCCAAGAAAGATAGGCGGCACAAGTTTGGACCCGTCAAGAAAAACGAAAGGACAAGGGACACGAACCAATTTAGTTAAAGAATTTTAACTTAAATAACAAAAAGTTAAAAAAAAACTTTAATGCATCAAGGACAGTTGCTGTAGTTGTAAGAAATTAGGATTGTGTATAAAGTGTATATTACAAATTTTGTATTTATGTATTTAAAAAAAAATACCCAATGTAATAGTAGTTTCTAAAAGTATTGATGCTCCCTCCGATGATGGTCTGTAGGGACAAAAACATGTTAGGGTGCTAAAAAGTGAAGTAGTAAAAGCTTCAACAATTACACTGGACGGAATTGTTTTATCATTTGTAATGTTGTTAGTGTGATAGACCAGAATGAAACAAATCAAAGATTACATTAGACTTACATTTGAAAAAGTTTGCCTTTTGGATATATTTAGGGTATCTTTAAATGGATCCAGCAGTCATGGGAAAGTGTCATGCCAGTGGATTGGCCCATCTTTCCTCCTTGGTACCAGGAGCAAATTTTCAAGAAATTCTGTGTTATTTTGCAGTTCAAATGGTCTGTTACCATTACCATCACAGTGTGCCATAAAATTCTGTTCTGAGTCAGTTCAGTCCAGTTCACAGCATATCCATTTTGGGTATTGCCTCCCCTTCCAGTGTTGCTTTGCTCGTCAGGGTTTTGGTTTGTTCCTCTGGTAGATCATGAAGCAATACAAAACAAACACCACTGTTAGGGTGAGCAGTATTCCTTGTATTTGAGGGTTCCCTGGTTCAATTTACTGTCTGGAGGTCAGCTGTTCTGGCATGTTTCCAGCATTCCCTCCAGAAAAATGTAGCTGCAATACCTTAAAATAAGACAGGACTGTTTCCTTCCACATCCTTCTTAATTCATCATTCACATTGATCCATTCCCTATTAAATACATAACCTTTGCAGTCACAGTGTCATTAAATAAACTAAGAAACAGCAGAATGATACATGGTGCAAATGTTCTTAAACGTGGTAACTTTTAATTTAGTTGTAAAGTCTGGATTGACATTTTCATGTGTTCAGTTTCCTGTAGAAAACTCCACTGAATACAGGGTAAAGTAAGGTGATTTGATGATACGTTGGACATGTATTGGCTTGCAGGATAAGAGAAACGTATTGTCATGAAATAATCAATTGGTTAGATGTATTTTTGTTTTATCAGTACATTTATATTGACTTTGTGACATGTAGTTAACCTATTATTGTTAATTATGGTTATTTAAAAGTGACTGTAGTAGAAAGGCAGTGTGGTGACGTGTACCTAAAACCATTGATTTTTGCCTATTTATAGCCTGTCATCGGTTGTTTGTCGGCCATGGGCATCATGCATGTACACTGTAGTGTCTTCATGAGGGTCCTGGAAGTGACATTCTCAGTGTAACCATGCCCCATCCTCAAAACACACACACACACAGAGAAATCTAATGTGCACCCATTGTTTGGTGTCCACTGAACATGATTTACTTCACTTACCACACACCCAATCATTATTACCCTTTATTTGTCATCAAGATGAATATGTACTGTGGCCTGAAAGTCCAAGTCAGCAAGTGGGTAGTGCTGTTGGGAACTCTCTAGTTTTGCATCAGCTGTTTTCTGTTTTGGAAGGTTGAGGCACTGTGCTTAGAAACTTCTCTTGCCACCTGTAGCTTGTTTAGGAGTACTGAGGACCTACAGAAGATCACTGCCCCTGGAAAAACTGGGTGGTGTGGCAGATGATGCCCTTTTCCCTTGAATAGGTTGCACAGTAAGGTGTGGTTAAACAGCTGGTTTTACTGTCAGTTTGGAAACCTGCAAGGTGGGCAGGGTTGAAAAGGGAATGAGAATTGATTCTGTATGGCTTGTCATTTGGGTGAACCTGCATGTAGGAATTCAAACTTTTGATCAAGCTGCATTCAGATGTCAAGAGGCTGCAAGACTTGGCTGGTGTGAATAGGTGACCAGGAACATCAGGTTGCCCTTTATCAACAGAACAGATCATCAAATGTGATGAGTGAGACTCCATCAAAAGGATATCGGACCTGGGTTTTTGAATAGAATCTACAAAGAACTGGAACCATTCAGAGGAGCTTTTTACTTGTGATCTAGCCCTTTGTTGATAGTGCCATATGTTGGCTGTGTGACGCAACAAATAACTTCACTCCGGTCAAGGATGTAGTGAATATTTATTGTACTTCGTTTTTACACTTCCACACTTTACAGTGTCACAATTATTGTCACTTGCAGTATCACAATTGCTACCTTAACTGTCAACTTAACTGAAGCTTTCAACTCTCCTTTCAACCCTGCTTCATGCCTCCACACGGGTCTATCCAACTCTGAACTGTCTGAGCCTGAGTCTCATTTTACGACCGACAGTCAGTCGGCTAGTCTCTCTTGGCATAAAGCACCCATCCGGGGCTTGCGACCAGATCTTTATTACTGTTTGACAGTTACGGTCTTGTTTTTTGTGGGCTCCCTCTCTGATGAGAGGACAGGTCTGTCTTTTGTATATGCTGCTGGTCCTTGCCAGCGCAGTCCTTCTCGGGTCCGAGTCCCTTGGTACTCAAGACCATATATTACTGTCTCAAATTTGAGACCTCAGAACTACAGACACTGTGTAGCATGTTAC